GGGGAAGAGAGGAACTTGGCTGCGCCTCCTTTCCTGGAGTCAAGGCTTTGACAATGATGGTCGCCTGGGGATAACAGCCGAAACGGACCATCTGTGTTTTGGTGTGTTTTCTTCTTCCAATATTTGTTTCTAATTACACCTAGTAATAATATATCTCCTCAGCTTTCACAAGAATGCTGAGTTATGGGCAAAAGTCGGACCACGGACGGGATTCGAACCCGCATCTTCTGCTTTCCGTGCAGCTGCGTTCCCTATTACGCTACCGAGGCCACTTTTGACCACTCAGTGTCCTCGTGGGTTTATTGCTGTTGTGGCGCCGCAAGTCTCCTGTTTTGGTTTTTGCCCGGCCCCGGTGTGGTGTTTTGGGTTTGCAGTTGACCTACCTGTTATTTCCGTGTCTGAGGCCACTTTGACCACTCAGCTCAATGGCTATTTGTGCCATTACCTTCAAGCACTCACACGTTCAACGTGATGAGCCGGTTAGCCGATATCGGCAGTGAACCGCAAGCGACAGGCCAATTTTGATTAGTCAAGCTTTTTGTTTGCTAACTGCTGTTTAATCGCGCAGTACGCGATCCGACCAAGCTTTCTATATTTCCTCCCTGGGATATACCTCTCGTGACCTTCGTCGGGCGGCCTGGAACGAGCCTTGTTGGCGGAAGCGATGTAGAAACCCGGCCGATGTCGCCCCCCCCAACGCACACTACACCTTGTCAAATTGAAGAAAGAAAGAAAGAAGAAGAAAAGAAAAGGAAGGAAAGAAAGAAAAAGCTTTAAGAAAAGTTTGACGCAAATGGTCCGAGTGAGTCCCCGAGTAATCCGTAAAAGAACCCTGATCGAAATAAAAAAAGACTTACATAATCTGTAATAGAACTTGGGTGACAGCTCACTGGTCTTCAATTCGTTGAGAAACTGCGAAGCATGTTTTAGTGCGTCCATCGTTTCGCCCTGCAGGAAGCTTTGTGAGAAAAGTTTTAAGGCGGTTGTCAGAAAATAATAGTTGCAGTTTGGAAAAACTGTTCAACAGCATAATGTGCCACTGGCCCAACCCCGTTTACTCTGTATATACTGCACGACTGATATTCATGAAAGTCTTCAGAAATCTCTTGAAGGCGTCTTGTCCCAAGGGTTTTTATAAAGTAGCAGGTTTCGAATAACCTCTTCTGATAAGGTAGCAGTGTGTAGTGTAGATAGTAGTCAAAAGAAGGGCGAAGAAAGTAGCAAAAATGAAAAAAAACTGGGTAGTTTGTGCTGAAAAAGACTTTTTATACCCAGTCTCAAAACGTTGCGGACGACTCCATAATTCAGTTGATATGTATTTGATGAGAATCACGGAGCAGATGACTAAAAAACATCAGTTTGGTTCAACAGAATTATAGAATTACCTTGTCGAGACACCGCTTCATTTCCAGCGACTCGGCCTTGACCACTCGCGTAGCGTTTTCCAATAATTTTTCTTGTTCTGCATTTATTGTGGCCTCGGTTTTCATATTTCTGAACCGAAAATGATGTACATAATCTCAGCTGCAGTGTCACTTATTTTGAAGCGTTCAAACGAGAAATATGAAATGAAAGAAGCAATTAAAAGAACACGCATAAATGCAGCGCCAAACCGCCCTAAATAGTGAGCTATAGTACAAGGAAGAACAATACGAAGTCTACGAAATATATAGCTAGGAATTCTCGGTATAGAGAAACGTGAAAAAGCTCACTGAACTACCTAGCAGCAACAAGAGTGATCGTGATTCAATGGGAAATTTACTTCAAAAAAGGAAAACAGGTCATAGCAGTCAAGAGCATCGAACAGCATGCTCAGCTGTTGTCACTTGTTGCTACGGTGGACGTAATTCGCGTACGGCTGCGCGCTGCGATTTCTTAACCACGGCGGTCATTTGCGTTCGTTATAGCGACAGTGGCCTCCATGGCGGAAAACTAGACTTACTTTCAAGAACAGAGTTGTTTCTTCGCTCCAGGAAAGTGTCGTGTGAGGCGAGGATGAATCTAAAATTCACTCCGTTGGTGCACGCAACAATGGAACTAGGAAATGGTGACTCGAAATTAAGCGGGTGCTCGAAGCACGTCGCAGCACTCTTCCCTGACACTTTCCAGTAAATCTTCGTTCTCACAACCTCCTAACTTCTGAATTTTCTACGATGAAAGAAAATTTCGTAGACGCGCATAGGAATCTTGAAGATACTAGTAACGCTCTGGAGCGCTGTTTTTGGGAAGAATTTTCACTCCAAAGAGTGCAGGCCCATCACCGTGATCGCCGATGCGACCTGCAATGTGGCCACGAATTCCTTCGAATTAGGTCCGTGAATGTCTACGCTGACGGGGTCTACATGCCAAGTTATTGCTCTAATCGGACAGGTTTCACCTGATGTTAGGAAACACCGCGCCGCAGGCGGAGCGGTCAAATGTGCTAATAATTCCTCTTGCCCCGTCTCACCATTTCCTTGACACGCCTCAGCGTTCACAGCGAACAGAACTGTACCACACCCGAAATTTGTGCACCCACCGCGGAGTTCTTTCCGCCAAGCTTTGAAAAAAGTACCTTCTCATTGAAAACAACAGTTAATTCCCTGCGGTAGTCCTAACGTTGTACAATGAGCCTAGAAAACGAGGCTTCAATGTCGCTAACTACACGTAAAAGCTTTATAGTCACTTCTAAAGGAGAAGCCTATAGACCCCTCAGCAGTCGAAACCCTTTCATTATGATCAGAACAGCAGTGGCTTTGAAGACAGTTGGCACGATAAGTCCCTAAGATGAATACACCTGGCAGGACTGAATTCCGCGCCCCTGGCAGGTGCTGCATAGCGCCTTTTCCAAGAATCACCCCATATATAATATGTATATAAGGCCCTATCAAGCTGCAACATAGTCGGACGCCCACGCGCCCGCCCACAAATGTCCGTACCTGATGCTCGTATTGCTTCATTTGCGAAGTAAAATATGAAGCGAAGGGATTCACATGAAGCGGTCGCGGTGCTGCATGGATATATGAGTAAGTCTCTATCCCTGAGACGGAGTAGGCGTGGCTTTTGCGCGTGACATAGGACGGGTTACTCGTGGGATACTGCCGTTCACGACGACCTCCCGCCCGTATCACTGTAATTGTCGAGCTCCTCTCCGACTCTCGTGGAGGCGGGGCAAACCTGTACAATTGTTTTTGTGTGCACATTCTACTTTTTGGTGGCGTAGGGAACACTCCTCCCACGCCGGATACTCCCTCTCTTCATACCAAGAATAAATCTTCCACTGAACCGTCTTTTGTCTTATGAACGGGTTAAAACCCAGTACTCATCACCCTACCTGGTCAGATACTTCAATTTGAAACAACTACTATCTTGTTCTGTGTTAGATGTAGACATGATTACGACTGCTCCAAAATGAAAATATCTCACGAAAACCTGGGCCGCCGCCATTTTAAAATTAAGTACGCAGCCACGCCTACCCGATCTCAGGGATTTCGAGTATACATACATGCAGCCGTATCTACCGTAGCGGTTAATGGCAAGATGCCACGGGAAACTCGTCCGAAATCGCTTTTTGAGTCATTAAGAACGAAGGCTTTTTCGCAAGTTTTTGACGTTTTTCGCCATTTTTCCACTATATAAGTACTTTGCTAGCATTTTATACCGACGCACAATTTATGCAAGCTGGTTCTCCCCTGTGGATGAGACGGCGATGAACTAAACTACGGTTTCATCCTACCAGCGACGTCCTTGACATCAGCATGCTACCATCCGAGGTATGGAAGCCTAGGATAGCCGTGGGGGGGCATCACCGAACCGCACTGTCTAGTTGCTGAATAGCGCCTACACAGTCTTGTCCCAAGAATGAAATGATACATATCATTTCTTGCCCGCGCCTGAAGATGAGCCATTAGTGTGTACGGGGAGTGTCGTCGAAACGATAGCCTCCTGATTCGGTGTTATTTAGCCGCAACTTTCAGAAAAGTGGCTAGATCGTTCGAGTTTTTCGATAGCAGTCTCATGGTCAAGTGGTCGTAGTGTTTTTCGTCGTTCGCTGAGATCTCTAGGGTGACGCCAAGGCCTATTTGAATAAAAATGATGAACTTATGGAGGATTTATCAACTGTTTAACGGCTCTCGCGTAGACGGTTTTGTAGGGCCCTGCTAAGACTGTTTCAAGGACGCTTCCACTTTCCCAAGTTTATCTAGAAATTTAAGAAATCGTCTAGAAATTTCTTTGGACCAATCGCATCCATGGAAATGCACAAGAGATAGAGTAGGTTTACTACAATTGAGAGACATGTTTACCGCCCCACAGTGAGAAATACCGCCTGCTGGTTGATGGTGACCTAGGGCAGCGTTCAGACTTCGCGGTGGCAGCACTTGCCGCGTGTTCGAGGCGATTGATCACGCATACTTTCAACAGCGTTCATCGACGAAAACATGCGCGATCGACGCTGCCGCGGACTCTGAACGCTGTCTGACTTATCCAAAGAGTTGCACGACCACCGTAAAAGCCTGAACCGCAGAACAAGAGGATCGAGCCTGCTGATTCCATTACCAAAACACTATTTATGTTCTAACAATGTGTAATCGCGATAATGATGCTAGGAGTTCATGGAAAACATCGTTCCATTGATAATTAAAACGGATTTATTCAATATACAGTATACTAATATCAAATTTAATTACACTCATCATCCTGGCGTCAGAGTGGGCGTGGCTGCGCACGTCATTTGGGTTTTGCGCAGAATGCGTTTCTCGAAGGATGATTCCGTATGAGACAAATGTCATGTCTTGATCTGGACAAAGACATCATCAAAATTGCCCCAAAACGAAAAAAAACCCCATCAGAAGCACAATCAGCGCCACGCCCGAATGAAGTATGCAGCCACATCTTCCCCTATCCGGTATATGAAATGTACACTAATCACATGTGAATGCAGATCTAGAGATGATTATCACTGGTCAATTATTACCGTTACAGTTTAGATCTGGCCCGTAAAGCTTTGTTACATACTGAGTTCATGTCGTTGAATGCTCGATCCAGTTCTTTAGCGAATCTGAAAACAAAATTCTCAAAATATGTAGGCGTTACGTCAAAAATGAGCGTACACCGTAGACCCTCGCACAAAGTCGGAAATAAGCTGTAAGCGCCAGGTAACGCGAATCAGAAATTTTCATTGACTTAATCTGTGGCTCATACGTCGAATCTGCCAACATGGAAGAAATGAAGCCAATCTAGTCCTTGCACATGTGCGGAGGGTGAATGGTCCATAGGAAGAGTGCCTCTTCGGTCACTCTAAAAAAGCGAATTCGGACGTCGGATGCAGGTCCAAACGACAGCACCTTTCACTACGTACCACCTCATTTCTGGGCCCTTACGAATGCATAAGTGGGATTCCTCTGTGGTTCCGAACAGCTCACATCCTACACGATCCACCTTGCAGGTAAGCTGTAGCATGTCTCAACCCCTCACGTCAACACCGAAAAAAACGGAACTGGGACGCAGCTGTTCATTGCAACCTTTCCTCTTACGGGGAATAAATTCTCATGAGTCACTGTGGAATGTGCCTCAAAGACAATCCATACCCTTACCTTCGCGGATCCCGGTCCTTGTCCTGTGCGAGCTGAATGGGTTCGCAGCTGTAGCAGCGTGCCACTTTCTCATGTCAAAAAGCATGGGTAAGGGGCTGGAGGGTAACTGTACCCGAGTGCTGTTTCGACACTCCACCGGTGCTGTCGTACGGCCAGTCGTACGCCTAACCATAACCAAAGGCGTTACTTGTCTGCGCCCTCTCACTTCTGGCTGTCCTCTGCCGCTGAGTGCACCTCTCTCCGCGGGGATTTGGAATCGACGCAAGTGCTGCATCTTCAGCATAATGCGCGTGGAGTATGGAGATGGCACCTGGGTATCAATACCCTTCGGCCCCGTTCCCATGCATTTCTAGCTAGAGAATGTGGCGCGGTACTGTGGTGCAAAACCATTCACCCTACATGTGGCAAGCACAGGGTCCACGGCGCTACGTGTACGGATTGTCTTCAAAGGAAGCGAACTTAGGGCTAGTTACACAATACGGTGCGTAGCGCAACCCCGCGCTACCCAAGCGCTAGGTCGAACACAGTTGTATCGGTAGTATGGGGGTTCATATGTATGTACTGCTCTATCTCCTTGTTAAATCAGAACCTGCGATGAGCTAAAAGTACTCTGTGGGAAAACAAAAGCCGTCACTCACCGTTTGGAGCTTGTCGAGAAAAAGCTTCTGAAACTTGTGACGGTGAAATGTATTTCAGTTTCCTGTGGATTATAGCAGATTCCGTAGCAGTCAGGCGCCGATGGACCAAAGCACAATTGGATGTAGTTTTTCGTGGGGACCTTAATAACTGGCTTGATTATCTGCCAAGTTAAAACACCGCATTGTAACCACTCTGTTATGCCAAACGAGAATGGAAAAGTTGAGTGATACTCACCTGGCTAGTAGAAACTTGAAAGTGGCACATATGTTCGTAGGCAGGTGTATTAAGAATGCTTGGCATTGGCAGGCCATTTTTCTGCAGCTAGTAGTTTCCAGGCCAGAAGATGCCGATCCATTCCCGCTCCATTCATGCAGCTCATCTGAACGTAAACGAGTAAGGCCTGACTGGGAATCACGAACGCCAATAAAATTCTGATCTAATTATAAGACCCCTGCGACTGGAAACCTCAAGAGAATGTCGCGTTTCTCCTATCCGTAAACAAACACTGTAAATCACCCACTGTGTACTTCTTGTGTGAGTCTGCCGCAGCCTTCAGTGCATCATAGACAACATCTACCGGTTCCCGTCCCGAGGCCATCTAAACGAAGCGAGGGAGGGTTAGTACATTAAAAGTATAATCGGCAGGTTTGCATTAGAAGCACCCACGAAACCGATACTATAGAGAACGTATTTTCGAATTTTCCTGATACGGTAACATGCGTTCTGCGCATGATACCGTACTAGGAGAACTGATAGACTTTTGATCTATTTTGATAAAACTCACCTTTCTGACAAAAGCCTCCGCTAAGGCATTTGGCGATCGGATGTTTTCTGTCCGTCCCTCTTCAAATTTTCGCAACGTTGCCGTTTCGTATGTGGGAGGCACTAAAAATGACAAAATTTCAGGAGGAAAACTAATTACATTTAGTAACTGGCGCGATGTTCAAAGATACCTCAAAATTTGGTAATTGAATCAATTTGCCCTGCGATGATAAAATCGAGACGAAAACCCTCTAACACTACTGAGAATCTAAGCAACGGCTACAAAGTGGCATAGCGAAGCCTATACGCCTCAATCGGAATCAGGCCACCTGTCTGAAACCTTCCTTCTCCGCAGGCAGATTCGGCCAGGGATACCACATCTGATCGGGGCCCGCACGGTGCAGAACCTCCCCAAATCACCAAATTCGCTAAAACGTGTTTCCAGAAGCAGTTTGCCCTCCTGGCCATGCGGTGTTACAGATGAAACAGAGGCAGGCCGCGCTCAACCTGTACCCCCTACCTCATCTTTACCTCCCTTAGTCGGTGGTCCGACCATTCCTGACAACCAATTTGCAAACACCGACCGAAATTCTGACCCAAATTTCCACTGAGACGTCGTTGTAGTTCATTCACTGTATGAACTACTCTATGAGGAGCATTCGAAAAGAGCTGCCTTCGACCCTGTGATATGCCGGCGGCGTACTGGTGATGGACCGATCCAAAAAAAAGTAGACTGACTCGTCAACCGCTAGAAGGGGGGGGGGGGCTGCCAGTCTCGATCTCGAGCTCAAACATCAGCAAGAAGGAGTCAAGGGGGCACCTTTTTCCGGAACTATAAGTGTCCCGTACCTTGAGTTTTCGCCAGCCCCGGAAGATTTTAAGGCTGACACATCTGCGCTACTTAAGGCTCACATAAAAGAGACTGCTACTGGTGATCCCTGCGGCAAGGACATGCCGATACCCCTGAATTTTGTTATCTATACTGCAGTCGAGGCCCGCAGTCATCTATGACGCAGAGACTACCAGATGACGATAGAGAAAACAAAAGTTTATACTGTACTTATGTAGATAAGAATGCTACAGTGGAGCCTGAAAGACCACACGATTCACTGATACGAAATCAAAACTGCCGCAAGACTAAGGTCCACTTGATTGCCGATTCTACTCACTTCCGCTGGTATGACCACCTCCAACAAAGACCCTGATGCTCAAGTCCACTGACCAGGTTATCTTTTTTGGTCAACGTCCAAAACGCCGACCGACATGTAAAGCGATGGAAAAACAAACTGAGACGGGCATGGTTGCTGCCGGACTGTCCAGACCATGCACGAAGCCGGGATCACTGCAAAGCCGTTGGTAGGAAGAGCGCACTCGAGAACAGTTGGACAAGAAAGGTACTAAGAAGAGGAAGATAACAGTAAAGGCACTTCTCTCTAACTCATAGAAATTAGCCTTCTATGAATGATGGCTTTACGCTCCATCGTCCGATTCCGGGTGGTCTCGAGAAGTGGACTGAGTTGCTGTAGAAGCTTCAGTTCGCATGAGGACCTGTTGAGCTCAAACTTTAGTACGGTGGTAGCGAGGTTTTGCGGGGTAGTCATTTTGATTCCGAGCATTTCGTGCTCTGAGGGAGGCGACTTCGGAGAAATGTCAGCCTATCGCGGTAATTTGAGCGCGGCGAAAATGGTATGGTAAATGTGCTATCAAGCTGAAAGGGCAGCATGCGGACTCGGTAGAGCCCTAAAAGCGTGAGGTTCGAGTCTTCGGGTTTTGCCTGCAATTCACAGTTTGTACGAGTATTTCGTCACTGAGTCAGTCGACGGAATTCCCACCTACTAAGAGGATGTCTGAAGAATAATGGAAGTTCAGAAAGATTTAAGCTCCTCCTAAACTCACATGCTGAATGAATCCTGAAAAATGCCAGTTGGAAAGCCATTTGGATGAATGAGTCCGGAGAGATATTCACCGATTTCGGATAATTCTTACCGTACCGCTTAAATGAGTGCACCGCCACGTCAAGGTCATCAACTGCTCTGAAATCTAAGCTTTCCGAAGGATATTTATCACACAGCTTTCCGTTTCTAACTTACTTATCCATTTTCTTACAGCTTTTCCTAATTTGATCTATTTGAGCATCGTTCAGTTCGAAATCCAGTCGTTTCACTCTACCTTCAGGTACGCTTGAATCATCATTGAATTCCTTACCAAGGCTATAAAAACTACGTTTGTCCCTTTGAACCATTTTTAGTACTCCTCAAAAATCCAGCTTACATTTTATCACAGACGAAATCCATCAGGGCGGCCACAGGTGGTCCCTCGGCAGGTGTATGTTCATAGGTCATGCCGCACGCGCCATTAGCACCAACCACAAACTAAGAATTTGAACCTTTACATTGTAACTTCACATTCTTACATTATTAGGAGGGAAGGAGTAACAACAAAAAATTTCAATATCGGAGTAGTTGGTCGATATACATATAGGCTGCCCTAGAAATGACGGGCACACTACAGTTTCTCAGAAAGAAATGTGATTTTAAGTTAAAGGCACAGTTCGCGACCGCAAATTGCGGGAAACGGAACTCAAATAGGCACAAAAAAGTGCTAAGTATCTGATTAGCGGAGAAAAGCAGCAGAAAAAGCAGTCCGAAATGTTATAGAGAAAGATATAGTGGCTACTAGCTAGTAGCTAGCAGCCGGTGAGGGTCGGCATGGGCCTAAGGGGTGTCCATGGGCCTAATTAGTCAGCTTCTAGCGGAGTTCTTGCCGTTTTTCACATTTTGAAAGTAGCGCAGCCAAAAATCGCCTTCCGGATCGTCCGACACATTTGAGAGGTCATAGGGTCGCGGACGTGGCGATCAGCTGTTTCAGCCTATTTAGCCATTTTCTCCCTAATTTCCATTGTTAGTATTTGTTTGCCTCCAAAAGGTAAGTTGTCTTATTGACTTTGTGAAATAATATAAGAGCGGGGGTTTTTCGTATGAAGTGTGTTTTTGCGATTTTTTCAAGGTACTTTGTCTAACGGTTTGTTCAATTATTGATGTTCGCCAAATAATTAGAGAAATCCAATCGTGAATTCCCTTGTGAACGACAAGGAACAACTAACTTCAAAGAAACCACCCAAAATACAGGAAATTGGGGGAGAAACGGCTAAATAAAGCTGAAAACAAGCTACTGGTCGCCCGTCATGACGCGCCGCAGCCGCGTCAGCGAAGCTTTGATCGCCTAATCAACTGCCCGGATAACGACGGTACCCTAGTCACTAACAGTGCCCCTTTTCGATCACGATTAGCACAGTCATGTTGCACGGAACATGAGTAGAAATCGTCAATTTGTTACAGCACTGAGTTTTCATAGAGCTCGCGTCTCCTTCAGAATGTCGTACTTCACCTCTACTTCACCCCCTGGGTCGCCACAAATATTTTTTTCTCTCTACGCTCTTGTTTTCAGTGTGAAATCCCTAAAGCTTTGTGCAGCATTTCCTTCACCACATTCCTTGTCTATGAAGACGCTGGACACCGAGCGGTGACTCTCAGCGGCAACTCCACCACTTTCTGAAGTAGTCGTGAATGGAGGTGCGCACCTGGGATTTCTGATCCACCAGAAACAGTACATCCAGCTGAAGGGCTGAAGAATGTGTTCCAATGTGTGCGACTCCATGAATGTATGAGAGCTGCTGAATAATCCTTTTTTTGGATGCACCACGCATTACACTGCAGTAGTGGTTGTAGAGTTCGATGGGACCCGCATTAGTGGATGTCCGGGAATGAACCAACATATGGGTCTGGCTTCATATCCGACCAGATGACTCTGGTACCAGTTAATGACATCGGAGGGATGGAAGGCTTATGTTAGATTCTTGGCACTGTAGCGAATTCGATTTATCCTCGAACTTTTCGCGTGGTCTACTCATCTGGCCGCCTCACCACCTTCGCTCGTACAATTCTATAGCTTCGCCCGTCTGGGCTTGGCGCGCCGCCAGGCCGTCTTCCACTAACTGGGGAGAGGAGCCGTTAAACGCGCCACTTGAAAGCCTAGCACCCGCAGGGCGAAGAATGCTGTGTGGCCACTATAAATGGATCTATAGTAAGCTTAATACACTGAAGATTACTTTCTAGATATTATAGGCTAGGGCAAAAGAAATAACGTCCCGAACACGGCTACGTGACTCATAGGCCCAGTTTTTTCATGACTATCAAAAATATAAACAGTATATGCAAATGTATACTCCTCATCATTACGGACTGTCGGGGCGGGTCAGTGCGGCTGCGTTTTCCGCGGTTCCAAAGTCTTTCTGCACCAGTTGTTGAAGCGATCAAATGACATAACAGCATTATATCCTTCGTATTACTCGTTTTCTACCACTTTTTGTCGCATACGCGCTTCAAAGAAAAGGCTGAGAACGGCTTCAAACAGTGTGCGCACTCCTTCTGGCCGATACGCCCCGACAGTCCGTAATGAAGAGGAGTGTACCTGTAGAGTTTTAGCGCAACCATCTTTGTTAGCAGAATTGCTCTTCCGTAACCGCTTCAATGGAGCACTGAAACGACAACAGTGAAATTACTTACCGGAAACTTATTAATGCGAATGACACTCTTTAAATCACACCTGTCTTGCCTGTTCGTCTTTTTCGCTGTAGCCCTTCTCAGGTTCAGCTTCTTGATCGAGGCATACGACAAACAAAGCATCTTCAATTACCGAAAGATGAGATGAATTCGTAGGGTTTCCTAGAACGAGGAATGATTTTCAGTGAAGTTTTTTGGAAATTCGTAGGGTTTTAGAAGCGAGATGATTTCAGTGAAGTGGCGGAACAAGTAGATGAGTATTGAACCACATCCTCCCATACCGATTATTTGCAGAGAACAAGAAAGAAAAACGGTGAGTAAAGGCTCTGTGTGGTATCAGCTTGCGGATAGCAATTCAATGAAATTCAAAATGTCCAACCGAATGGGGAGACCGTCCACAGAAGGGGCAAATCAGTCCGGAAACCCTGTCTTGCCTATGATCAGGTTAGTTGCCGGCTTCCCTCCTTCGCGCATACCTACCGCACAATGATAATACCAAGCCAGATCTACGTAGCCTCAAAAGGCAGTGTGCGCAGTGGCTGTGGGCGGACGGTTGCTGATCATGTCATTGGTGAGAGGGCTGTAAGAGGACGTTTGCCCACACCTCACTCCGCCCTTCCACAAACGACGTTGGCAGCGCCCGCTCCCATCCGTCGTGTCCCTTGCCGGTGTAGCTACGTCTCGCGTCTAGTAGATGGTAGTGGGTCTTGAGAGAGTGTGACCACTGCTCTGATATAAAGTGAAAATTAACACTGATTGTGCTTCAAAATTTCAATGAGGAATGAGTTCTCAAGGATGAGCCATGCGTTCGACATCTGTGAAAGAAGGACGAAGGAAAACATGATAAGGGTAACAGTGTACAAAGATGATTAACAAATACAGTATCTTGGCTTCCAAAACGAATTAATCGCTTACTCAAATTGACTGGTGGAAAAATCACAACGGCTTACCTTCGAGTTGCTCGTAGATCTCTGCCCATCGATCACGCTTATCCGACGAGATAATACCAACAGCGTTCGGTTGCCGCTCGGGACTTTGTCTGATGACGTCACCAAAAAGCGCAGAAAGCGCTGATAGCGATAGGCGGTTGACCAGCTGCATTCATTGGGCAGCATCGAAAATACTAAACAACAATCTCCGGTAATAGGCAGGACATCATGAAAAAAATAAACTTCTAAGAAGCACTGCAAAAATGAAGGAAACTCATTAATATATCGTGCACCAAAGTAGTGTGCTTCCATGAACAAGACAGCTGACTGTAGATGACTTTTCGCAACGGAAACAATTCACAGCTCTTGAGAATTAAATTCTTCATTAGTTCGCCCTCATACGCACCCGAACATTTGATTATTCAATCATCAACTTATTTCACTACTCTATCAAAATTCAACGGGTTTCGAAGAACCTTCCGAGATTACGAGCTTTTCTTACATTTCCCTGTTTTTCCCCCATGCCACTTGTTCTCCAATGCGGTCCAGACTCTCTACCTGGGTGGTCCGAAAAGTTTTGTCGGTTTATCCCCATCCTTTTCTAATTTTTTCCATGTTCTTGAGCTCATTAGAAAGCCTGATTCTTGCAAATCGGTTGTGCGAATCGACACAAAGTGACCTCAAGCATTAGGATGCAACTGGCAGAAGAGCAAACTTGTTCGCTGCTAAATTTTCAGCGGAAATTGGGTTTGTAAGCTGCGGAGGTTCGTCAAAAATTTGTGAAGTTCTTGCAGAAGGGATAGGAAAAAAGTATTTCTGCTCCGTACAAATTCCTTTTCCATAAAATTCACAGGTTTTCCGGCCAGCCTCCGCAGCTTTCGAACCCAATTTCCAACGAAAATGCAGCAGCAAGCAAGTTTGCTCTTCAATCAGTTGCAATCTGACGCATATAACACTTTTTCCATTTTTTATCCTTGAAACCCGTTATCATAGATATAGGTTGGAAAGAAAGTCCTGTCACTGTTGTGATTTTTTTCTTTTTATTTTCTAACTCAACATGAAATAAAAACTAATCAATAATATAATCGCCATTGTTAGCCACTACAGTGCTCCACCTAATGGGCAACTCAGCTATCCCCTTCTCCCAGAACTGAGGAGGCTGCGAGTCGAAGAAGTAGGCAACTTCTCGATTGATGCCATCAAATTCGCTGAAGGTTTTCTTACCTAGGAAAGCCTTGAGGGAGCGGAACAAGTAGTAGTCGGAGGGGGCTAGGTCTGGAGAATATGGTGGATGGGGAACGGTCTCCCAGCCTAGCTCCTCAATTTGGCGGTGGGTCTCTTTAGCCACATGTGGTCTGGCGTTATCATGGAGGAGGTGCACCGAAGCTCGTCTCGGCCGCTTTTCTCGAAGAGCTTGCGCGAGTTTCTGGAGTTGGGCGGCAACGGTAGCGGTACGCCCTTGCGGAAGCAGCTCGTGGTGCAGCATGCCCTTCGAATCCCAGAAGCAGCAGAGGAAGACCTTCTTGGAGTGCAGGTTCGATCTGGGTTGCGTAGGCGGGTCTTCTCCTCGGGAGCCACATGGCACGACGTAGGTTGGAATCATAGAGGACTAAGCTTTCATCTTCAGCCACAATATCTTCCAGAAACTCCTTACGGTGTAGAAGGAGAGATCCGACAGATGCCTGCATGCCGCGTGCCATCTGTTAGAGCGAGGTATCATCGCGTGAGGACTTTCTCTGTAGCCAAGGGCCTGAAGGCGGCTTAGAGCTGTTGTATGGCTACACCCTAGCCTTGTCGCAATACTGCGCGTGGTAGCCTCTGGATCCTCTCTGACAGGTTCGAGAACGGCGGAATCTTCTACGCCGCGAGGGCGTCCCAGACGAGGTTTGCCTTCGAAGATCGTCTCTCCTTTCGCGAAGCGAGCGAACCAACGGTGGACAGTCCTGACGGTGGTGGTGTCCTCCCCCAATGCACAGTTGATGTTACGGGCCGCTGCCGTCGCTCCAGTGCCGCGGCGCCACTCATAGAAGATGATCACTCGAAGCTGCTCCAGTGAAACTGACATCATAAATAAACAGGGAAGAGCAGGAGCCTTGATATACCTCTTGTGGAAAGCTTCGAGAATGTTCTACAACCTTAGCATGTTACGTCATGTTCGAGCTTCGAAGATCAAAACTGTAGGCTATCTAAAAAACACTGACAGGACTTTCTTTCCACTATATAATGCTATAGGGTCCCATCTCATGCGGCCACCGACCTCACTCACAACAGGTCGCCGAATCGCGATCCACGACACACCTAAAAAATTTTAATAATGCATTACGTCAGAGATGGAGAGGGCGTGGCTGCGTAGTTCTCGTAGGATATCGTCATTTGAGACAATTTTCATCCGTATTGTGCAGGAAAGGTGGAGGTGGTGTAGTGACAAGTGTCGCGCTTACCACCCGAGCTTTCCTGGGTGTAGATCAGGGTCGACCTCCCCGCCCAGGCCAACGCAAGCCTTCTTCAAACTGAGATTCGTCTGGAAAGATAAAACACTGACATGTACATAGGCTGACCCCCGCAAGTCATTGTATAGACCATATCGCATCCAGTAAGCCACTACAACCTTGAATGGAACTAGAATACGTGGCGTATCCCACAAGAGGATTGATCAACAACGAAATTTTATTCTTTTTATCCTTTATTGTGCAGAAAAAATTTATGGCTTCTAACTGCGCTGAAACGTCATTATTCTTTCAAAGCGCAGCTGCCACTACGTTTCCTGTGAAGCCTTCGCCATCGCTGGGATATGAATGTATACATTGTGGGGGCTTACTCATTGCACCTATTTACTTCCTTTCTGAGACATTAGCGAAAGACTTACATGTCCATTGTGAATAACGGCGATATGCTTGGGCTGATTTTCATTGGCGTATCCGTATCGGAGCTAAAAGGGAAAGATTTTTCGTTGCTGTAAAAAAACACTTTTCAAGTTTGATCTACTGGTCGATTTGAGCAAAAATTCGACCTCGAAAACTGGTATTTGTGGGACACTGAGTAGCATTATTATATAGAATACAAGTTTTTGTTCGCCGAGGATGTTGGGAATGTCAGGGTTGGTGGATGTGGTGAGGGGCCAGGGCGCTCTCCAACAGTGGTTGAAACGGACAAGTGACAACAGATGGAGGAAGACGAGCTAGAACCGCGCCAAGCCCAGCCTCTCTGACACGCCCTAGCATCCTCAGTGAACAGGGCCGTACACAATTCGAACGTTAGGAAACTTGTGACTTTTTGGAGGCCTTGGAAGATAGAGCTGAGGCTTTTAGTGATATGATCAGCACATAGCAAATTTCGTGAAGATGGCGACATTTTCCGTTTACTTCATATGCACCAGTTACTTCACTCATGACGGAACTCTTGAAGCACCCACCTCATCACAACCTTTTCGAGGAATGCGAGTGGTCCCATACATGAACATGTATTGGCTCATGTCAAACGGCGTCTTGCCAGCCATATCCTGCGGAATTTCGTTTCTGAAAAAAGAAGCAATTTTTCGAAAGGCACAAATCGTATGTTCTTCCAGATGTAAGAATCCTTTCATAGTTATTTGCGCTTATTTATAGCGTTGTAAAGATGGCTGTAGACTTTGCTTGCGCTTGGTCTCGCAATCGAATCTCATGGTCAGATCGGCTGCGGCTCGGACCAACCAAGGGTTCTCCCTTTGGAAGTTGTAATCGGTACCAGACTTGTTCGTAAATATAAGAACTCTGACTTCTATATTCCTGACCCCTTGAGTCTTCCACAGTTCATACTGCTTTAGTATGATAACTGCTGTTTACGCCGCAGTTCGTGCTTCGAAAGTCACCACAGAATGCTGACATATGGGCAAAAGTCGGACCCGGGACGGGACTCGAACCCGAATCTCCCACTCACCGGGCGGTTGCGTTACCCACTACTCTACCGGGGCCGCTCTGACCCTCTCAGCTCAATGACATTTTGTGCCTAAGTAAGTATAGAAAAGTCAAACCTGATTATTTTCAAGTAGAACTCCACAGCGGCCTGGGTGATTTTTGCGGCATGATCTATCTGGGTGTCTTTACCAGTGTTCGGAAACAGAGGGAACATCAAGCCTGGAAAAAGTATGTTAGGGTTGAATCCACTCTTCTGATTATTGCGTGCACAAATGAAGCTTACCAGGAGATGTATTAATAGGGAGGGGTGCGCGCGATTCCAGATACGCAACCTTCAGCCACCATGGTGTGAGCTGGAAGAGGTAAATATTGTGATGTGTTCTGACATGACACAAACTATCACATATTCGAAAACTTTAGCGCAGTTCGGTTTGGTGGGGGCACATTCATGGCACTCTAATAAGCTTGTACAGGCCTTTTTA